AAACACTTCCACTCGTAACTCTAGAAAACATCCAGTACAATTGCTCATGACTAAACTAAGTTATATAATATAATTGCAAAATGGTATATAAAATAATTATATGAGTCAATCACATAATTTTTCCAAAACCATTTTTTTATGTGGACCAATATAGTACTACTTAGCCCAAGTGATCAATTTTATTAAATTAAGATGACCCTAAATAATTAACAGGTGAGAGGCCCACTTAATGAATAAAGGCTCAAATTTTAATAGCTAAAGGACGCATCTATGGTTCTTTTCAAAAACATTTCCCAAACAATGAGTAACCTAAACTAATTCCACTAACCAAAAAAGCTATTTTTTTTATTTAAAAATCAAGATAATTATATTTTGTAAACTATTTAGATTATCTCAGTTTATCTTAAGTTTATTAACTCATATTTATATTTTATTAATTTAAAATTTTGGTTAATCTTATGTTTATTATGTATTTTTTTACTAAATCGTAAAAATTAAATAGACAAAAAAAAAAAGACAAATGCAAAAATCTAAAAAAAAATCGCAGACTAGAGTGGCCCTCCACCGTAACCAATAACTAAGAAAATCACGATAAATAAACTGAATATAAACAATAGATAAATTGAATATAAACCATAGATAAGACAAAAAAAAATACAATTAATAATTATGAGAATGACGATAAATAAACTAAATATAAACCATAGATTAGAAAAAAAAATATAATCAATAACTAAAATAATAACTCAACATAAACATCAAATTAAATCTGACAAAATTAAATTCAAACAACTTTCTTAAAACTAATTTAACAAAAATCAACTCAAGATAAACATCATATTAATATTTTTGCTTACAAATTACCTCACAAAAAGAAAACGAAAAAAACCCAAAATTCTGAAACCTTCTTCATCACTAGGGGAAAACAGAAAACCCAAAATCCTAATCTTTTCAAAGCTAACCACTGGTTACACTGGTTAATTACAAATTTTAAAATAATAACAACAATTTTGATCCACCATTCCCACAACTAATGACAACAATTTTATTACAAAATGAACATGACTATATTATTGTTGATGGCCATTATTTTGTTGTTGCTGTTAATACAAATTTATTGTCCCCTATTGTACTATTGTACTATGGTAGAGTAGACTAGGCCATCAATCTTTTCATCAGTAGCACTACCGTGTGCCCTGGCACATCTAGCTAGGTGTGCCAGGACAGTTTGTGCACGCGCCTCTCTCAACCCAAAAGCAAGAAAATTTGGAGAGTGTAGTGCACATTCTTATTTTTCATTTTTTTAATTGAAAAATGAGACATATTACATAAATTAAAATATCATTAATTATTTATATCAAAAAAATAAAATAAAAATACCAAAATTCATAATTTTTCATTATCTATAAATAGAGACCACATTTGATAGGTTTTCGAACACAACTATTTTTTTTTCGTAATTATTTTATTATACTGACATTTAATGAACATGTTACATAATAGAATGAATATGTTTTCAAATATGATGAACATGTTACAAATTGCAGACTGAAACAATACATAATATAACATGTTCATTTTTATTATGTAACATGTTCATCTTATTCTATAACATGTTCATTTATATTATGTAACATGTTCATCTTATTTTATAACATGTTCATCTTATTCTATAACATGTTCATTTTATTACGTAACATGCTCACCTTATTGTGTATGTAACATGTTCATCTTATTCTTCAACATGTTCATTTTATTATGTAACATGTTCATCTTATTCTATAACAAGTTCATTTTATTATGTAACATGTTCACTTTATTGTGTATGTAACATGTTCATCTTATTCTATAACATTTTCATTTTATTATGTAACATGTTCATCTTATTCTATAACATGTTCATTTTATTATGTAACACGTTCATCTTATTTTAGAACATGTTCATCTAAATTTCATCTGTGAAAATGTAACATTTTCATCTTATTCTATGACATGTTCATCTTACTCTATAACATGTTCATCTTACCATGTAACATATTCATCTAATTATAGATTTATGTCATAGTCTTCAATAAGATAAATTAATTGTAAAAAATGATAAATTAATTGTGTTCCAAAATATATCAAATGTGGTCTCTATTTGTAGAGAATAAAAAATTATGAATTTTGGTATTTTTATTTTTATTTTTTGATACAAAATATGAATGATAATTTAATTTATATAATATGATATATGAATTTCATTACCCAATAGAAATGAGACACATGTCCCATTTAAAAAAAAAAAAATTGCCTTACTTCTTACCTCACGCGCTTTTGAGGGAGCTGTATTTCACAAAAGGCCCTGGCACACCTAGCAAGGTGTGTCAGGACACACCTAAGTATTTGCGTCTTTTCATAACTTGCTACAATTTCTGAATTTTCTACTTGTAAATTGTAAAACTTTTGAAAGTTTACCATGTGATTCTTGTAATTTTTGTAGAGAAAAGAGGTTGCCTTCCACTAGTAGTATATCTTTTTTTGAATCAAACATCAAATTATCATAGATGAAACTCATAATGTACAACTGTATAACCAACGGGTTACAAACCAACTTTCCAAACAACATCTTGAAGAAAAGCTGGACAAAGGGAGAGCCATATATAACACTGTGCTCCCCTAAAAGACCCACACGGCCATAACCTAAAGAACCACAAGAGAAGAGAGAGAAAAAAAAAAAAAAAAACTACAAACACAAGAACTGAAAACAGACAGCTAAATACAATCACCAAAGGACCAGCTAGCATACATGACAGAAGTTGTTTGTACTATTTTTGTTACATTTTTCATTGTTATTTTAATATATTTTTATCCTTATTTTGAGTCATTTAATTAGTTTTAGAGTGGTTTTATAGTTATTTATATGTTTTTAATTATTTTAAGTATTTTTGTGAATTATGTGTATTTTCTGATATTTTTCGTTCGTATTTTAGTTTTTAGTGTGTAGGTTGAAAATCTCGGGAGAACAGGTTTTCGGGAAAAATATGGGAAATTAATCTTTTGATTTGCTACTCGGTAAAAATAAAAATAATTTGCTACAACAAATTTGGCGCCGTTGCCGGGGAAGGCAAGTAGGATATTTAGTTTTGGTATTAATTTTTTTTTTTTTTGTGTTTCTCTTGATTTTTATAAAAAAAAAATTAAAAATTAGAGAAGCTTCCATGGACCCGTACAATTATTCCTATGCTGGAGGCTCGTCTCGTGGATACCTTAACAATTACCAAGAGAGGAAGTATAGACAATATGCAGAGCCACCTTCTTCGTGTCTGAACTATTCAAATTCTTATACTTATGACAGATACTATACATCATGTGTAGATGACCGTGAATATTCATACCAAACACATAGAGCCGATTATAGTTCGGGACATGACTGTGCACCTTATTATAATCCTTTATCTTTGAACTACAATTATCCTTCGTTTCAGGATTATAATAATTACATAAATTCACCTGAGCCACCTCAGGAAGTTTTGCCGAGCCGAATAGACGAGATTATGGCGAAATTGGAGGAGTGCAACCAATCCCTCCTGGATTCCATGGCCCCTATGCCAGAAAAAGATGAGACCGAGTTCCTTTCTTCATCCTTTACAACATCCAATTATTACCAAGAGGTCTTGACGAGCACACAAGAGGCACTTGCTAGCCTTGCGTCGATCATTGAGGAGTTTCAAAACTTGAGGTGTATTCTTATTCCATCATTTATTCAAACCACTCTTACAAGGTTCGACTCCAATGTGGTATATTTTCTCGACTTGGACGCATCTTATATCCCGCTCGATAGATATTCCTCTTTATCTA